TGTCCTGTTGTTGATGGCTGGAAAATATTACATGCAGAGAACATGTTAAAGAATATTGAGTTCCTTCAATATGTGGTATTAAGGGAAAGCAATAACACATTTTTTTTTCCTTGTGGATTAATCATACATTACAGCCATTGTCATAAGGGAAATACTTCGGTTTTCCAAGTGAAGAGAAAATAAACAAGTATAGCATTTTATTGTATGTATTCTACTCTCTTTTCCCTCCCAATGCATGAGAAAACAGACATAAACACATACATAGAAACACTATCAATTATAAGCACATTTTTCTCACAAGTTTCACTGTACATTTAGACATTCATCTATTATTATAATTTCCAATTTTTAAATCTAATAAAGAAGGCTGAAAATGAAAGGTCTGCTCTTCATAATTCCAAAGAATAAGGTTGTTGAATAAAACTGCATAGAATGTTCAAGTCTCTTGAACATGTGAGACCATACTGTTTTCCAACAGTATTGAACTATTTTATGCAGCCACTAGGCTATGGACCTGTGTGTTCACCTACATGTTTCATATGATTTTATTCACTTAAACAAAAAATGTTTATAGAGAACCTCTGAAGTGACTGACATAACACTAGATGTCTGCCATGCAAAAGTGTACAATATATGCACGGTATTGGATATTGTAGAGATTTTTAATTTTTCTCATGTTTATGGTAGCAAAATGTTACTGTTTATAATTTTTAAAAATTCATGACAGCTCCAGGAATGAAATGTGATTAAATTATGTATCTATTTATTTTTCATATTATCCACTTAAATTTATACATTTTTATGTTTTATCACTTTTATAAAAAGATGTATAAATATTAGAATTCTGTGTTTTTTAAAGGCAATAATTATTTTTCTAAATTCTTTTTGAGTTTATGTTTCTGGCAGCTTTTTTCTATGTAAATCTTATATGTTATAAGTTGAATATGTATTTTTAAAGGTTGTGACAATAAAGCTGGACCAATTTAGGCCACCAAATCATAGTCTTAAATGTTTAGTACTCTGATCTACTTCTTCCTCAACTATTGAATTGTTCAGTCCTCCTGCAATAATGTGTAAATCATGTTAATTTTACTTATACACCAATGACATGTTTTAGCACAATTTCTGAGATAATTATTGCATTTAATTATTATTTTAATGGAACTACTGAATGACAAAAGGAGCATCTTGTTGCTGTCAGTTGCCACTGAGTCAGCCCTGATTCATAGTGACCCCATACACAACAGACGAAATAGTGCTCAGTCCTGAGCTATCCTCACAGTCCTTGCAATGGCCCATTGTGGTAGCCACCTTGTCAATCCATCTTGTGGAGGGTCTTCCACTTTTGCACTGACCCTCTACTTTACCAAGCAGGATAGCTCTCCTCAGGGACTGGTCCCTTTTGACAGCATGACCAAAGTAGGTGAAATGAAGTATG